AACAAATGCTGAACAATGCTGAACAATGCTGAACAAATGCATGCGGATTGATCATGTAGATCAATCCGCATGCGGCTCCCTCTCGATGACAGTCCACATGCAGTTTCTAAATTTTCAGTATTACGTTCACGCACACGTACATGCGGCTATGTTTATGACAAAAGAAACAGCAACACGCAGACGGGGGGGGGGGGGGCGCCATCGAAAAACGCACCGCCGCGTGAGCACCTCGCTGTGCTCGCGTGAGAACTGAGCGCAAACATCACAGCATTTGTTGATTATGCAGCGTTCATATATCGCTATTTGATAACTCGGGGCTGGTGTATGTATGGATTTGATAAACAATTGAACTTACCTCTGCAACGACGATCACTCTACGGTCGCGAAGCTCTTTACAGACAGGCCTTTTTTTCTTCAGCCGCTGGTGAAGTGTATAGCTGTGCGCTCCCGCTGATTTGAAAGCCTACTAAGTTTTGACAGCCTACTGAAAACCTACTAAGATTTGAAAGCCTACTAAAATTGGCGCTAAAGACACGACCAGGCTAGACTGCACCTGCGTGCTCCCTTCTTACGGCGTTCGCAACGGGTCTCGTTCATGCCTCTCGCCACTCCTTTGTTTGGGGCGCTGCTTGCCTGCTACCTTCCGCCGCTCCGTACAGCGCGCGAACACACAAGTTCGGGCGCGCTTCTCCACTCGCCGCGCGTTGAAAAACAAGTTGCCTATTTGTTGAAGGCACAGAAATGGTTTGTTTTGACTTCTTATTTGCGCTGGTGCATCGAGCTTCAGTTTATTGAAAAATTGCGTAAATGTAAGAGCCCGAAGTACAGCTCTCCGCCATCAAACGTGTAGACATTCTGAGGTCTGGAAATAAGCATTTATTGCTCATAAGCACTGGCAATAGTTGAACACTTTCAAGTGAAAAACTTTTCCGGACTTCACAAATGTCTTGTTCACCGCCAAAAATGCTTCTTAGTCGGTTTTTGTGTAGAATGCTTGTCGTTTGCGTCAGTCAGTTGGTTTGCGTGGTTAACGAGAATTCTTAGGGATTTTTCGGCTATGAGATCTGCGGATTGTCGGGAGTGGCTGTCGTCAACGCTTTTAGGACAGCTTAAGATGGGAGCGCGTTGCAAGTAAGGATGGACTGCTGTTTGCAAAACTTCTAGCACATTTCTGCGTGGCAGGTGTTCATAGGCCTTATCAAAAAAAGACCACTATCTTGTCCAAAAAAGCTAGAAACTCAGGCCTCGGGTAGGTAGTTCGCCCCTCCCTTGTGCTCGCAGCAGCTTGTATAGCTGATAGTGCTTGTTGTTGGTCGTCAGCAGCGCAGCGCAATGGTGGCATCCGAGGTCTGTAGTAAGGTTGGCGATGTAACTGCCGAGGTATGCTAAGCTGGAGAAGGTGACAGATGCAGACGGACAAGCCTTGTACTCCAACAAAGACCTCAGGTCCTTATCAAGTATATTCGATATCATCGCGGCCTCTTCCTCAACTCCCACATTTAATAACTTGATTTCTTTCGGCCTTTCTTGTGGTCCAGAGCCGCGGTGACGGCTATAACAACCAGCATGTCATTCCCGCCACACATTAACCGCACCCTTCCGAAGATTGCTTCGATGGGGTCACTGTTCAATTTCTTTGTCAGGACATAACTGACGCCTTTCTCCAGGAGGAATTCTGTTGTTTCCACCGTCGTCCTTGTTGTAAAAAGCAAGGCTTCGTACGTCTCGTTGATGAAGCCAGCACTAACTGATCCGATGGAACTCTTCTGTATTTTTTCCACATATGAGATAAACTCATCCTTCAGCCACAGTAGGCGATTGCCATCGCTCCTAAAAATGGCAACTTTGTGGCCGCTTCCATTAAATGAAGTGTCATGGATGTCAAACCATTTCTTCATGGACTTCATGAAGAAAACGGTTGAACTTGCTCCCTTGAAATCTCTGGCAGCACCCATGGAATTTTGCTGAAGGTGCTCTACGGCTGCAGACACTTGAGGGGCGAAAACTTGAACTGCTCGCAGCATATTCGTTTTTTTCCAAATTGGAAGGGTAGACATGTTTCCTCGTCAAATTTTGGGTCAGCTTCACAGTCTGGTGTTTTTGATGCTCATATAATTTCTGCACAAACGCACCACTAATCCCTCCTGTGCCATCTGTAAGTTCATGTTTGATGAACTGATTTCTAACGTTTTTGAGCAGGTGGCACGGGTCAAAACTCAGAAAGATGACACGCTTGGCGTCGTGTGGATGACATACAACTGTGTTAAGGTTGCCGTTACCCATGTGCTTAAACATCGTCGCGTTTGCTGAATAATTTTCCGTGACAATGCGAATGATGATGAAGCCACACGATTGCACAGCAGCAACGACCTCCTTTGTCCATGCAAAGAGGTCTCTACCGCTCAGTTGCTTCGTGAAGTAGTACGAGCATGGAATCTTGTAGCGACTAGTACGTGGTACCATGCAGCACAAAGCAGAGGACTCTGTTCGCAAGGGCTTCTTTCGATGTATTCGCCATGCTACTCTCTGGCTTGTCCTTGAGGCCAAAGACTGCATCCGCCTTCCTATCATAGATGCACTTTTGTTTTATGCTAGCATCATTTAATGCGGCCATGTTGTTTGCTGCTGAGTTGCGAGGCCTCGTGAACCAGACGGTCCTTCATAGCATTGCTCATACCCGATGATGTTGGGCTTGGACCTATATGCCTCTGAAGAGTGCACTTTGCTGGCAGTGTCAGAATCCCCAAAGTGCGAGCGTGATCGCAGCCTTTTAGGGACAGAAAGCGCCATATCACACACTTCCTAACAACTTCTTCTGGGTACGCTGAATGCTTTTTTCCATAACATACTATTTGATGCAAAGAAACACGGCCTTTTTCTCTTTCTGTCCATCTGTTGCGATTTTCTAAACACACGCGTGGTGCTTGCTTTCGCGATAATATGCAGACGTTTTTTCCTCTTCTTTCAACAACTGCTGCACCTTCTCACATTTCGAACGATGGTACAACATTTGGGAGCATAATCTTCCTATCATAGCCAGGTATCGACCCGCTTGATGAGCACTGCTGTTCATTGTTTGCGTACTTACACTTACAGCTTTTTGTTCAGCGAAAGCATCTTGTGAAGTCGCAACATCCATGTCTGGTTCGTTGGTCTCCGCTTTTCGCTTTCTTCATGTTTGGCGTAGGGGCGAAGCTTATGAAGCAGGACCTTTGCGGGGCTTATTTGCGCTTGGTCTCATGTAGGAAAGATATCCTTGAAGAGAGTGGGCGCAGAGTCGGGAAGTTTTCTGATGCGGCGCGCAGGCACATAGTCTACATCGCGGAAGTGTCCGCTGCATACGACAGTCGATGCAGACTTGTCATTGATGATAAGGTTCTCTCTCGCAATATTCTTTCACACAGTTCAGCATTACTTGAGAATTAGTGAAAAGAAACACCAAGTGTTTTCCCTGAACAGGACTTGCCATACGGAACACAGCAATACACCATCGCACATCTAAAAACTAACTTGAGTTATTTTTACCCTCTTTTCTTTCTTCTCATTTACTTTACATTGGTTCCAATATCATCCCCTATACATTCCTTGGCATTATTGCCTGTTAGATCTCATTAATATTGTGTTATTGTGTCAAAACATGGAAAAACGAGCCCTTGGGTATACACTTCTTTCCCTTACTCATTAACGAGGGTCTCGTACTGGCAGACTTGGTGTCGTTAGGTTGTATACAAGGGACTATTGGTCAGCTGCCCACTCGTGACAAGTTCACGTGCTACGTGACGCCAACCAGGCTCAAAACAGTGGGCCGCACTTGCCGCCATGGCTACTGGTGGCGCTGACTGACACACCCACGTTTAATTCACATATAAACCCTATAAAGTGGATGAGGGGATAGCTGTCGTGGTAGCTTAGTGCTAGAGCACCGAACGCGTCATTCGATGGTCACAGGTTCGGATCCTGCCCCCGGCAAGTTATTTTTTCAATCACTTTTCTTCATATTTACATTACAATTTGGTCTAATATCTTCCCCTATACTTTCCTTGGCATTATTATCTGTTAGATCTGATTATTATTGTGTAAAAACACGGAAAAACGAGCCCTTAGGTATACACTTATTTCATTATATATATATATATATATATATACAGCAACCTATGTCTGGGTGCTCTCGTCATCCCCTCTATAACTTGTGTAGTAGACCAAAATTGGTAAGAGGGTTTGACGATCATGAATGTCTGTTTATGACATGAATAATGCGAAAATCCCGTCGCATACGACGTCAAGTCCTCTTCTCCAGAAACGCGCTGCACATACTCACCTTCCATTAATCTTGTGTAAAAACACGGTATGCGGGTATGCGCCGCAGGTGTTTGACAGCTTAAATCTACTAAGAAACAGCGAAAAGAGGCATTAAAAATTTAAATGTGAGGGTGTTAAGACAAACTGACATTGGCAGTATTGACCTGACAAATGGAACGCACCAACGCCAGGGTCTCAGCAGGAATCGAACTCAAACATTCTGAGTGGCAATCGCATATTTTACAGCAGAGCCATTCTAGGTCTCTGAACTACTTTAGACAAAGATCCTCTGCCAGCGTAATGTCGTGAAACCTCAACTGTGGTTGCAGTGCTGGCTATCTCATTTTATGAACATTACATATGTATTCGAATGACACACGCATCACGTCAAGCTATAATGAAGTGTAGTTAAGCGCCATCCACTGAAGTTGGTCCACCGAGCATCATCTAAGGCTGCCATCCTTGAAAGCAAAACGCTACATTTCAGCTTACCGCTTCTGGTGTTGGTAATACCCATGATGCTCCTGGATCATGCAACTGTAAACTGGTTATATAAAACATTTACGACTCTTCAACATACATGTCTGTGCATATAACATTATTGTATTAATGTCATTTCGTGAAGTTTCACAGAACTGAAAATTACAACACACTCGCCTTCCCTCAGCATGCTTCGCACGACATCAATTCCCATAGTACGCGGGATCTCCTGATTTTTATTCATAAGTACTGCCATTTTATACAATATATTGGGCGTGTGGTATAAGTCCAAGTAGCTAAAACAGATAAATAAAGAAACAACAGAAATGCGCTGAAAAGTTTCATTATTCATGCGCAGTGATAGGAAAAAAAATATTTCAAGCAGTTGGCAGCTGTAGCAAATGCAGTAACAGCAGTGTCTGGTAATGTTTAACCTGGTTGCATATAACCTTGTAGTGGTCGACGTGTGCTAGATGTATTGTAGATCTATCTGCTTTCTACATTTACCAGTAACATCGCTTGGAAGGTTGCACCATTTGTTGTGCCAAATCTGGATTCTGAGACAGATAAGATGAACAACCCTGCTCTTTTCTTTCACACAACAACGTACGAAAAAAAAAAAACATTTAATGCAAAATATTTATTGTAAGACTTATACTTCCCAGCTTTCAGGCACTAGAAAGCCTTCATGCGCACGCCCCCGCAAGACGGAGGTGCACACATGAAGGCTATCTATCAGGCACAATTTAGGCACATTAAATAATGAAAAGCAATAGTGCCACGAAGAGGAATCATTTGGGTAGCTGGCTAGCGGCGCCGCTGTCCAAAAGCCAGACGACATCGCCTTCGGTGGGCTCAACCAGAGATGCTGGAAGGCGCGGCTCCCCTTCCATTGGGTGAAGCACTTTCTGAAAGTTCAAGAAATCCATAGTAAGTCACGGGAGTGGACACTCCTGATACGCTCAGAAATTATTTGTGGGTTTTAGAATATTACTCTTACACAATTAACAAAAATCACCACATCTACTTCTAAAAGGGCACTTGGTAAGGCGAGAAAAAGTGCAAGAACAGAAAACATGGGTTGTGACGCTCCCTGAAGCCTACACACAAAGCTCATTGCGACGTCTCTGATAGCCCCACCCACGTATTATGAGTAAAAATTAATTCCATGACATTTTAAGAGAGCGAGACCTAATGATGAGCTCCGTGAACCTTTTAGCAGTCAACATGGCAAAAATGCGAGACGTTGCACGAATGTGCTTGAGCTCAAAAATTCTCTATACATAACTTTTCAAGCGTCACTTAATGTATAATCACAAATTATCGACTATATATATATATATATATATTATGCTTGTGCAAATAGTGAAATTTAGGTTTAAAGTGAATTCAAAGCAAATAGTGATCTTGGTTGAATAATTTCGTATATATAACATATACAGAAAAATAGGCACAATTATAATGATCTAACTAACCTGCACAATAATTCTTAAAAGTTTAAATAAGGCATCTATGCAAATGCCTCTATATATATATATATGTGTGTGTGTGTGTCTGTGTGTGTGTGTGTGCGTGTGCGTGCGTGCGTGTGTGTGTGTGTGTGCGTGCGTGCGTGCGTGCGTGTGTGTGTGTGTAGAGAATACTCAAGGGCCCATTTTTCCGTGTTTCACACAATATTAATGAGATGTAACAGACAATAATGCCAAAGAAAGCACAGGAGAAGTTATTAATATTATATTAAGAGTTATTGGTGCAAGGTCATCTAAGGCCTAAGAGCACCAGTATAAGAGTTGTTTCATTTCAGGTTATTAGTCTAAAAATTAAAACAAATTATTTGTAAAAAATATCTATGAAATATTTAAAACAGTACATTTAAAAGGAACGTCACTTCGTTAAAGGCCTTCATTTCGTTGGCTGGAGTCTGATGATAAATGAGTCAGCAAGGTCCAAGGCCCTCAAAGCTGAAGTCCTTGCCTTAGCAAGAACTGTAAAGGCTCAGACATACTTGTGTTTTTTGCACCAGGCTGTACCTCACACTTGAGGCCCAGCCTGGTGGCTAGGATAGAATGATATCGTTATTAAAAATTTGACTTTCCCAAAATAACGAAGAAGTCTCTTAAAGTCAAACACTGCATCGAGTGATAAAAACAGGGTGGGATGAAGTGGAATATGATACCGGTAGAGCTCCCTAAAATGAGTCAGTAGCACTTGGTGAAGCGCAGGGCATTGAATGAGAACATGCAAAATGGTTAGGCTCTCTCTACAGTGTATACATGTAGGTGGATCAAAACCTGTCAAAAGGTGCTTATGTGTGGCATAAGTATGACCTATTCTGAGCCGTGTTAGAGTGACTTCAGTGAATCTGTTGAGTTTTTGTGGGATAACTTTCCTTAGTTAGGGTTTCACTAGGTGGAGTTTGTTGTTGACCTGTTTGTCCCATTCATCTTGCCAGAGGTTGTGTAGCCCTCTACGTACAACAGGGTTTGGATCCACAGCCGGAACGGTGGTTATATCTATGGCTTGCCGATCAGCGGCTTCTCGTGCATTCTTGTCTACTATTTCACTGCCCACAATCCCAGAATGACCTGGCACCCAGCAAATAACAATAGAAAGTTTTAGGTTATAGGCTGCATGGATTTCATTTAGGAGCTTGTTAAAAGCGGGGTTCTTGCTGAGCTTGCCACAAGACAGGGCTGTGACAACACTGAAGGAATCTGAGTACGCTATAGACTTTGGTATCTTGTGTTGTATAATAAGCAGGATACCATAGACTTCCTCCGTGAAAGTGCTGGTATGTGTACGCATGGTTCTGATGTGTCGGAGAAGTTTTGTCTGTAGGCTGTACAGGATACTACATATGTTCGAGACTTTGAGCCAAGAATGCGGCTGAAATATATTTATGTTCAAGGGCCAAGAAATTTTGCTCAGTTAAAGCACTTGAACAATTTTTCTTTTTAAGGTCTTTGTAGGACCAGTCCCAAGTGACCAGACACTGCTGCCAGGGAGGAATGCGTTCAGCATGGTCGCTTTTCTGTGAATCATTGAAACAAATCCAAGTTTTTCTGCTGCAGGTCTTATTGCCAATAAAACCGGTGGGGCTAGAAGGACAGTTTGCATATAACTGAGTAGTGGACAGATCATTCATAAGTGCTTTGCATGGGTGCTGCTTCAGGGATACGATTTTAACTGCATAGGTGACTTCTAGGTATGTGTACTGATAGTCCGGCAGCCACTGATCTGACTCTGCATGAAGGCTTTGGATAGGGCTGATACGGAATGCACCAAATGCCAGCCGTATACCAAAGTGGTATACAAGGTCCTATAGTTTGAGTGCTGTTCTTGAAGCTGACTGATATACTATGCATGACAAAACCAGGCTTCTAAACAGAGATATGAGAGAGCGCCCCATGAATAATGCGATAAAATCTTCAAAAGGTTCATGGTCTTAAGACATTTCAACTTCAGCTGTTTTATGTGCTGGATGAAGGTGAGTTTAGCATCAAAAATTATGCCGAGGAATTTTTGTTCTTTTGCGATGACTACGTTTTGTACATTCATTAGTATGCAGGGGTCAGGATGTACACCTCTTCGTCTGGAGAAAGGCACACTAGTAGTCTTGTCAGTGTTAAACTTAAAACCATTCTCATCAGCCTATTTCGCAAGGCGGTTAACACCTAACTGTATTTGGCGTTGGCACGCAGTCAATTTACACGATTTGAAACTGATTTGGATGTCATCCACATAAACGGAGTACAATATTGCAGGTGGAGTAACAGAGTGAAGAGAGTTCATTTCAACTATAAAAAGCGTGCAGCTTAATACTCCGCCCTGTAGCACTCTATGTTCTTGAAGAAATGTGCACGATAGCACACTGCCTATTTTTACACAAAACTTCCTTTCAGACAGGTAATCTCTTAAGACAGTAATCAATTTGCCGCATATTCCAAAGGACGATAAGTCTTGCAGGATTCTGTATCGCCAGGCAGTATCATATGCCTTCTTAAGATAAAAAAAAAAACAGAAAGACAGTATTGGTTGTGTAAAAATGCGTCACGTATATATGACTCGAGGAGGACAAGATTGTCAGTAGTGGATCTAGTTGTACGGAAGCCAGACTGGCACAGATCCTTTATACCTTTGATTGATTGATGATTGATATGTGGGGTTTAACGTCCCAAAACCACCATATGATTATGAGAGACGCCGTAGTGGAGGGCTCCGGAAATTTCGACCACCTGGGGTTCTTTAACGTGCACCCAAATCTGAGCACACGGGCCTACAACATTTCTGCCTCCATCAGAAATGCAGCCGCCCCAGCCGGGATCCGACAATGTACCTTTATATTCTAAGAAATAGACCAAACGGCGGTTAATCATTTTTTCAAACACTTTGAATAGGCAGCCTGTAAGTGCGACAGGCCTGTAACTATTTAACAAACAGGGATCTTTTCCCTGTTTAAGGATTGGTAGCACTATTGCCTCTTTCCAAGCAGAGGGTATTTTGCCAGTATTTAAAATCGTGTTTTAAAGTGCTAAAAGGCACTTAAGGATTTCATCAGGGAGATTTTTGATCATTTCATAGGTAATTGTATCAGAACCAGGGGCAGAACTTCCACAGGAACCAAGGGCAAGTTCCAGTTAAGGTGATGTTAGGGGTTTATTGTATCCTTCTGATGCAGGCTTGTTCAGGTGCAGAGGTATACTTTCAGCTATGCTTTTGTGGCGTAAGAATGTAGCGCTATACTTTTCTGAGCTTGATATTTTCTCGGTGTGTTTGTCAAGAGCCTTTGCCTATTCTTGTATTGTACCACCGCATTAATTCACCAAGGGGAAGAGATTTGGGCGTAGTCCTTTCAGTTTATGCACCCTATTATACACCTTGCTGTTGTCTGTGTAGGAGTTTATTGAGGATATAGTGTGTCCAGCTTTCCGGTTAGGCTATACCGCAAATATGCATGCCATTCACTTTGCAACTTCTGAAGTTTATCAAGTTTTCTATTGTTGGGTAGTGAAAAAAGTACTTCATGCTTTGTTTTGCTGTTTTTTAGCAAGTACACACTCACAACTGCACCATGGCTTTACGTTGACCTTATTACTGCTAGACTACGAAATGTATTTTTTAGTATAAGTGAGGACATATTAGGAGATATAGTTGGCCACCATTTTTACGTCCAAATGATCCACCTCTTCGAGGCCTTGTGTACATAGCTCTCTGAATTTCGCCCCGTTTGCACCATGAAAGTTCCCCTTTTTAGGGTAAAATGCTCGGTCATCCCGTTGTCTTGTTCCTAATAGAGCCGGAAAATGGTCACTCTCATATGGATTGTTAATAACTTTCCAATTTAGGTAAAATAGGAGTGATGGTGACCCAATGGCTAAATCTATGCATGAATATGTATTATGTGTGGTACTCTAGTATGTTGCCTGCCTTATTGAACAGACAGGCTCCAGATGAAAGAAGAAAGTTTCCATGATAATAAGGGTTGCAGCGCAAGCACGAAGGTGCTAGATGAAACGAGAAATGAAAGGCGAGGCAAGGAAAGCAAAGAGGACAACACTTTTCCGTTGCGCGACCTCTCGCATCACATCTGGTATCACCCCATAGCAAACTGTGAGCATTAAAATCTGTAATTAACACATACGGTTCGGGCAGCTGATCAATCAGCTTTTTGAACTCTATTTTATTGGACGGTTCATCGGGGGGGGGGGGGGGGGGGTATGTAGATAGAGCAGATAGTTATCAAATGATTGAATAAATTAGAGCGAACAGCCACAACCTCAAGAAAGCTTTGTAGCACAATATGCTGGCATGCTACACTCCTTTGTGCAATTATTGCCACATCTCTTAACGAGGAATGGCCACCATTTTGATCTTTACGAAAAACCACATATTGATTTAAGAAATTCAT